GATGTGGTAGAGGTAAGTGGAATAGAGAACATCTGCTGAATGTGATATTCATAGCAATTTCTGTTTATTTATTTATTCATTTATTTTGTGCTTTAGTTTAGTTTGAAGAAAATAGGACAGCTTTGCCTCTGAGGAAAAGACTGGCATTGCCTGCCATTTGCCAGGCTCTGGAGCTACATCAGCACATGGAGAACCCTCAGACACTGTTGGAGACTAATTTCATTACCTTGCGTGTTTTCATAGTTAGACTGAGAGGAATGAAACCATGGAAGGAGGAGTGGCATTACTCTTCAAAACAAACTGCATAATTAGGCAGATTTGTATTCGACTGTTTTCATCAAGTGCTGCCTTGCTTTGAAGTCCATGATGCTTGCTATGTTTATTGTGCTCCATATTCTGCCTCTGCGAAGGCTGTAACCCAGGCAGCTGCAAGAAAACATACTGGGGAGAAAGGCTTCTCAAAAACTAATGGGTTGACAGTTACAGCTGCTGTTCAGTTACAGCTAGGTTCAGTTTGACAAATAACAGTTTCTGTAAGCATCGGGTTTTATGGACTTGACTGCAGTGTTGCTGGATTTCTAAGTTTTGGTAGCTGTGCTTAACTGAGTGGAGAATAAGAGCTGTTCATCTTCTGGCTCAGTCCGTGAGGAGCTTGTAACTCTAGCAATTGTTTCTGTTTTTCATAACAGTGGGAACTTTATGGGCTATTTTTCCCTCTCTGTGTCCAAAATAAATGTGCTGCCTAAAAACAAAGACAGAAATTGCAGAGTCTTTGGCAGGCACACATTATGAACTTGGGGTACCTCAAGCCAGAGGGGCAGTTTACAAAATGCACCTTTCTGAGAATTGATGTTGCACCACAGTGGCTTTATCTGTGTGGATCTATTTTACATTTCTTGCTTTGCAAGTCCGTATTTTTAACAAGCCTCCACCTCCATAGATATTAAAGCATCTATGTGCTTTTCAGTTGTTTTTCCAGGTATATACACTGATCCATCAATCTGATTTGTAGCTATATCTTCACTCAGAGTCGTTTGTATTGTTCCAGTTCAACATTTCAGACTCCTGTATGATATTTAATTTATTAGCATATCAAGCAGATGCATACGTGCAGCTGTGGTGCTTTTTTTGTAAGAAATGATGCAGCAGTGCTTCTTGAAAAGCTGAGGTAGTGACCTTGGCTGTGCATTGCAGGAAGAGCACGTGCACTGTTTCAATACACAGAAAACAGAGGAAAAGTAATGACACTAATTAAAATCAATGACAGTGCTAGTGAACACAAACCCAACTCTTTGTACTCACAATACTTTCCTAATTATTAGACTTTCTGAACTTCCTGAGTTTTTCCGTAGAGAGTTGTCTGTGCAGAGTCTTTAAGAAGGCAATAGGAACACCAGAACAGCTCTTGATCAGGGTGGGAATTTGATATCTCATCTATTAAAAACAACCAAACAACCAAACACAATGCCAATTAAACAGGTATAGGTTGCCAGAGCATCTCAGCTGACGTGCTGGTGCAGATCTCTGCCAGGGTGCCCAGTGTGGGTATGTAGGACAGGGTAGGGTTTGCATGTGTAAACACTGTGAAAGTGTAGAGTGATTATAAAGCAAATGAGCAAAGCCACCCCATCTTACTTTCTACATGTTTGAAATGTGCCTATCCTTGCCACGAAGACATACACATACTGCGTCACTAGCACCTGAAGTGGTGTTAATAACACAAACTCAAAACTCATGACTCAAAGAAAACTTATTTAAGAGGAGGGATCATACAACACTTTTATTTCAGCATGGATTGGAAGCCAGCGCAGTAGCTAGTTGTGCCATAATAACCTAAATAACCTGATCCATTTTTGAACTGGAAGTGGGTAGTTCGCTTGCACATGGAGACAGACTTCAGTGAAATAACATTTTCTCTGTGAGCAGCAATGCGTGTTGAGGGCAGGTCCTGCTGGGTATCCCCATGACAACTTTGAGAGCCATCTGTTCACTCGCTGTGCTTAGCAAATCACTCTAGAGGGACATAGCAGCCTCTATCATGGGTACTTATGGAAGTGGGAGTGGATGCTGAGCACTCAGCAGCTTCCTGATGAGGGATGGGGTAAGGGTGAAGCCAGGGTCCAGCTTGTACTCTAATCCAGTTGGTAAAGCCTTTGTTGTAGCTCTCTGTTGTAGCTTAATAACCGAGAGCTCTCACTCTTGTGCTTCTCAAGGCAAATATTTGGAGATGGCTTGCATTTTGTTCCCATTGGCTTATGTCAACCTCCACACCTCTCCTTTCAGTGGTAGTACTGGTTTCCAACCAGGGCTGGTATGTAGGTAATTTGGGTAGCTGTTCTGCATGCAACAAATTTCATTTTCTTTAGACCAAGAAATAATGCTTTCTGTAAGTAATGTCAGAGTTTATAGAAAATAGTAATTTGAACCACTTGAAACAATGCAAATGGGGTTTTGTATTTAATTAAAGGCTTTGCTGTTGTTAGTCAAATCCCAGTACTTGGAGTCTTGAAATTAATTATTTTTCTTCTTAATGAGATTCTGGCTGTATGCTTGAGTCAGATAATGTATCTTAAAAGCTCAAAATCCAGAAGGAAAACTAAAATATTTGTATATTTATAAATCTTGTATACGATACTTGGTATGGTTTTTTGAATCATTTGGAAATGATAACTTGTGCTTTCTCATGCATTTCTTTAAATTTTCAGCTAGGGTTATTTTTTTTTTTCTTTTTTACTGAGTATAATAGAAATAGATGCCACTTCTAGTCTGTTAAAAGCATTTACCGCAGTCAAATTAATCCTTGTTACTGAATCCAGAAATTGCTAACTTACGTGCTGTACTAGCTGCAGTCCCAGCAAGAATCATCAAGGTTGGAAAACACCTCTAAGATCATCCAGTCCAGCCACCTACGAACCACTTTTGTCTTCCACTAAACCATGTCCCTCACTACAGCATCTAAACGGTCCTTGAACACCTCCAGGGACAGTGACTCCACCCCCTTCCTGGGCAGCCCATTCCAGTGCCTGAACACTCCCTCAGTGAAGAAATATTTCCTAACATCCAAACTCAATCTCCCCTGGCACAACTTGAAACCATTTCCTCTAGTCCTATCACTAATCACATGGGAGAAGAGGCCTATCTCCACCTCACCACATCCTCCCTTCAGGTAGTTGTAGTTTCCTGTCAGAAACTACAGAAGGTCCTATGTTCCTTATTGCTTCACAGGAGCATTGTTGTACTGCTTCAGGATGAATAAAGCTACAAATAGGACTTACGCTTACATTTGCTTAGTCTAGGTTGTTTAAATGTATTTCCCATATAGTTTAGGCCTTATGTTTTCATATGCTTAACATCAGCTTCATTAGGATTAGGAGAAAGAGCAGTATTTCATATGTTTAGCAAGAGCTTAGCAGAACGCCGGCCAAGCATTGGAATGGGTTCCCCAGAGCAGTGGTGGAGTCCTATCTCTAGAAGTATTCAAGAAATGTGAATGTGACACTAAATATGTTTTCGCCATGGGATTTGGTAGGTCTGGCTGATGGTTGACTTGATCTTGGAGACCTTTTCCAATCTAAATGATTCCTTGTATGTTTCTATGACTATGTATGAATGGAAGTTCTGCAGTGCACTGGTGTGTGCAGCATGTCCTCTGGCTCCCAAGTCTTCAGAATTGAGCCAAGATTGTCCTCCAGACTGATCCCATCTACTTATTGATTTGAGACAGAAGTAAACATGGACACAGCACATGACTTCTTGTTTTGCTTTGTATGCGAGTGAATACTGAGCAGGAACGTGTTTGCGTTGGTAGCGGAGCCTGGAACAAGGTCTATTTAAGGCAACTTTGCCACTAAAAATAATATTCAAGCTATTGTATCTGATTTGGGGTCAGCTGCCATTAGCTTGCACAGTTCACATTATTTCTGGTCAAGCAGGAAACTGTTTTTACACTTGAGAAATAAATAGCAGCAACCTGTCAAAAAAACAGTATGGGAACCGATGAAAGGAATGAATTTTATTATCTTAATCAGCACAGGCTATCCCAAATCTCTTTGTGGTGAGGCTGCTGAAAACACAATGTATAGACAGTTACTTCGATGTCAAGCTGTATAGTTGCTACAGCTTGTTACTGCAGCTTGTTAACGTACACATGCAACAACTTGCAACCAACAGCAAAGCACAGGGTGGCTTAATTCTCTTTTATTGACAAAAACACACAGAAATATGTTCACACAAATTCCAGTAGAACTTCACCTACATTTAGAGATTTTTAAGATGCTGTTGTTTCCGTTTTGGCAACTCCACAAAAGTACTCAGACTCTTTTGGCTCTAATTGTAATGCTTCTGAATCGTAGAATCATAGAATGGCCTGGGTTGAAAAGGACCACAGTGATCATCTAATTTCAACCCCTCTACTATACGCAGGGTCACCAACCACTAGACCAGCCTGGCCTTGAATGCCTCAAGATATTGATGTCCGGTGAAGCAAGGCATCTTGAAAATCTGATCATGTTGATTTTTTTGATGCATTTTATTGGAGATTGGTGTTCTGCATAGATAAAAAGTTTGGTACAGAGAGGATGTGTTAGGAATGAATATTTTGCTAGGCAATTCCTGTTTTACTTCAGTCACATATATTAATGTCAGAAGAGAAATGAAATGCATCTCCATTGTACAAGTTTTTTTTTTTTAAGAGAACGCTATTAACTATTCTAAACATGAAACAGTTCCTGAGGCATTTGGAAAACTTGGAGAGGTTGATCCTAGAGGAACAGGAAATATTTTGCCCTTTATTTTAACAATTTTAATACTGCTGTGGAAACACACTTATTCTTCCGCTCCCTGTTTATCCTTAGACTAAAGTTAGATGGGCTTTTTTTTTTTTTTTTTTTTTTTTTCTTTTTTTTTTACTCCATGATAAATGGAAATTACTGTTGTGGAATTCTGAACCATGTTTCCTTACCTGGGCACAGGCCCGTGCTGTCTCATTACATTAAATATTTCTGCTGGTGTTGTGCATTCTGCCTGCCCTGTGAGGAATACCAGCCTGCCAGCATCCTAGGGGCTGCTTGCTGTGCAGAGCGCCGATCCCAATTGTCCTGTTTTCCAGTTGACAGTCCACAGCCCTGGAAACAAGGCAGGATACAGCTCAGAATGAGGAAGTGCCTCTCCTTAGCAATGTCGTGGTTATATTAATTGCCATTAAATAGCTTTGATACCTACAGTGCTGCTTAGTGAAGTGTGATCTTTTGCCAAAACTAATAGCGTTTTCTGCACATGCATTATTTAGCATGCGAAAGTATAATAGAGCTTGAGATAAGCTAGCTTTCATGCAAGACTCCAAAGTGATACACAAGATCATCAGGCTGTACTTACTCTCTTCCTAGTGGAGACATTAATAATTTTTCCACTGATGTCAAAGGGAGCAGGATGTCAACCTAGATAAATACGTTAATGAAGTCAGACTTTCTTAATGAAGATTAATTGTAGGGGGCTCTATATTTTGTATGTCTGCCTTTGAATGCCTCGAAGTCATGCAGTAAGTCTTATGCTTCTGCATACTTATGTATCTAGAGATGCCATTTTGGAAAGGCACGTCTCCTTTTCTCATACCAGCAATCCCTTGGAGACAGCTGTTCTGATACTTGCTGTGTTTGGAGAAACTGTAGCAGTCTAGGTTGCATTAATTTGTGATGGGATCTGGAAAGAAATACACTACCTGCCTTTGGAAAATCATCTGGAGACGGGATGGCAGAAAGAATGAGGTCATTGCACACCCATATCATCCAGATGTTTTCCAACTCCTGATTAATCCAAAGGTGGCCTTAGTAAAAGATTAGGCATTTGTCCTTAACTGCATGTAATGCTGGATACTTTCTATAGTTTATTCCTCCTTTCCCTTCATGCCCTGCCGGGTGTTCTGCTTTGTACTCTGGCTTTAGATGAACAAGTTGCAATGAAAGGCTGTCGGATTGAAGCAGCTTCCTATCAACATCGACTGGAGAGAAGTGAGGAAGAGAGAGATGATGTGTACAGACATCCAGATTGTGCTGGGGGAATATCAACTGTCAAAATTTGAGGCTTTATGGCAGAGGAGTGTGGAAGTTATTTTAGAGAGAGTTGAAATGAATTACCTGTTTAAGTGAGAGGTTTATAAAGAAGTAATTACACACAGTTTTATGAAGCTTAGGGAAGTAATTAAGTAAACAAAATTAAGACATTTTGTCATATTATTACAATATAATCTTCTTGCGTGTGGAATATTGAACTCCTTTACAGTGGAGATGTATCTAACTATAAACACATGGTTAAGCATTGCTAAGGTAAGAGAAAAAACAAAGAAGCATAATTGGCTTTAATCTTAGTGGTTTCAAATGGGTCTCAGCAAAAGACTAATGAAAAGTAGACAGCTAATCTGATAATGGTATTTACCTAAATGAGTACAGACTAAAGTCATTAACATTGACAGCAATGCAGTAAGATAAAAATTGCTTTCTGCATCTTGCATTAAAATACTGTATTATCTAAAACTGCCGTGTGTGAGAGATTCCTATTTGCCTACCCTGTGCATGATCCACATTGCTCATGAAGGCTTAAAGCTCCATAGTAATCAACAGAGGTAATGGTCAATGTGTGTGTTTGTTATCTGCATTCAGAATTCCTTGCACAGTTTATCAGCCCATTTCTGTACTGTGCAGAAGAACAAGACTTTGCTACAACACAACTGAAAGACTGTTTTGGAGGCTGAGGGGAACAATGTAAAATACATGAGAGTAGCCTACAGATGCCTAAGAGTAATTTAAGAGCACAGTATTGCTGAAGATGTACCACTTGGGTTTATTTCAGAGCCGCTGGACACCCAACCCCTAAAGAAAACATTTGTAGAAATATCAGTAAAACTTCAGTCTGCGTCTTGTTAAAAAGTGCTTATGATGGTGGACAAGAATTATGGGAAAAGTGGACAGATTTTTCAAAGGCATGAGATGCAGTTAATCGTTCATCTCCTTTGCTGAGTCATCTGCTCTGGTATTTTAGTCACATGCCTGATAAGTGAACGGCTCAGTTCTGAGGAGGAAAGATGTTAGATGTTAATGGGAAAGCCAGAGAGAAGAATGCGAATGTGAGGGAAAAGAAGTGACTGGCAGGCAGAAGAAACTGGAGAAGGCTTTTAGTCTGGTTAAGGTTTTATAAAAGTCGATTACGAAAGCAACCTCACAATTAGCACTTTGTGCCTATCAGGGTGATCACTGATCAGTTTATCCCAGAGCAACATTTCTGTTTACAGTCTTGTCTGCTGATTATTTTTCTTCTTGCTGATGAAGGGACCATTTGCAGATCATATTCTAATTAGTCCTACAGTCTAAACAGAGAAAAAGCTGAGTATGTATGTCTGAACACATATGCAGGGCATAGACTTCAAAAAGCAAATCCCCTGACTTGGCGCTTAAAAATCTTACGTTCCTCTTAAGCTTCTGCAAAGAACTATATCAGGCTATTAGTTGAACGTGGCTAATGAAGTGTGCCTCCTCAGAGAGAGAAAAATAGAATGTTCTCTGTGTCTGTCCTGCCCTTTTCCTCCTTCGGTTGTCCCATATAGTACAGAATAGTTTTACAGAATTGGGAATTTTGTAAGTGCACTTGTACCCCTTCCCGAAGGTATATTGACTTCTCTGGACCTCTCCCAAGCCTGGTTGATGTTGCAGAAATTTGCTGGCTGTGTGTAAAAATTCCTCATTGCATTAGAAGGGAGGTGAAGCTGCTAAGTTACCTTCTGTCCCACAAAGCATAAGAGCCTATGAATAGACTAAGACATAAAATATTGTACTTTGGCTCATAGAAGACTGATATTTATTTGCCAGATAAAACAGAATTTTTCAAGGAAACATTTCTTCAGCCTCTGCTTCAACAGATTAGGAGATTCCATTGGCCCTAACACATGATCTTCCAAAAATATTTCAGATAATTACTCATGTGTTCCATTAGCATAGTAAAACCCTATGTTAATGTGACCTAGCAGAGATTTTATCAAACACATCAAGTATAAAAGAAGAATGCCTTATGTAGTGCAGAGAGACTGGGCAGAGTGATTCCAAGTTCTTTATTGCTGCTTAACAATCTGTCGTGGAGTTTGAGGATGCATCCGACCATTTTTAGCCAACAAGGGCCATGCTGGTGAGTGCCAGAGGTGTTTGGGGAGCTTAGAGACTGACAGAATGAAAATCTTGGTTGAGAGGAACAATCTTCATCTGGTATGGGACTTTCTTATTTCTCTTGGTTGTAAAACTTAGACATGTTAATTTTTATTTATTTTTATATTTTTAAAGAGAGAGATGAGGTGCAGCCATAATAAGGTAAAATTAGCTTGAGTAGGATTGCTAAGCCAGTGCTGAGCTGGCTGATTTGCTCATATAAAGCAGCAGAGCTCTGCATAGAGTCTTCGTTGGCCTCAAAAGCAGAATATTGATGCCAGTAAATGTTGTCTTTTCGAGTTAAACTCATGTGGCTGGTTCAGCAGCTGAGGTATTGCAGTGGTACAGCTTGCTGCCTGCTGTTACAAAGCTGCTCTGAGGTGAGGCAGAGGGTGCAATTACCTCCAGAATTAGATTTGCCCACATTGATTTTCATCAAAAAATAACAATAATTCATGTGTCCATGCATAATTCCAGTTAAGGAGTATGTATTTAACTTGTGGCAGTTCCTAAAAGCCCCACATTCCTCCTTGTTTTTTGTGCTCTACAGGAAACAGGATATGTTCTAAAAACTTTCTAGTCTTAATAAGCTGTTAGTTCACAATTTTCTATTTTTCATGCCTTCACATTTCAAAATTAAAACATCCCAGTTATGCCTACCATAATAAATGTATATCCATGATACTTTTGTTTATGAAATTACTCATCTAGGAGAAATAGATAAGATAAATCCAGAAACATCTACCCCAAAAGCCTGTAGTTCTCTCTTTTTACTATCTTGACTATAGAACGTTTTGTACGTGAGATGTTCATAAGGATTGAGTTGCATATTTCTGCACTTGTAAATTTTTTTCTTCTGTATTATCATGATTGGAAAGGAATTCTTTCTTGGTATACATTGTCTGATGGTGGATTCTGTTCTTGATCACTTTTAACTATAAATGACAACGGCTTTTTCAAAAATGTAAACATTTACTTGCAGTTTCGCAAAACAGGTTTATGTGAATCTCTCTGCTTTGGTTTCACTTGAGTTAAGCTAGTCTTGGTTTATATCACCTTGCAAACCCTTCGTTTGAGACCACTAAATCTAGTTAGTCAGCATTGGAGCAGTGGAAGAGCCAAAAAAGAAAAAGCAAAAACCAAATTCCAGTGGTCAAATCCTGGGCTAGTGCAAAAGTTTACGTATGTGACACATATAAATATACATATCATAAAAAATATTGGGTATAGTACATTCATTTAACATGTAGATACAGTATTGTTCAATTCAAGGTGACAGCTTCATCTGTCACAACTGCCTTATAACTTGCAAAAAATTTTTTACAAAAATAAAAGCTTCTTGAGGGACTCAGACACATTTCATGGTTTACAAGAAAAGTCCTTCACTGCATTGTTTCTTTCAGCTACATTGCTAGATGGTGCTGCATATTTACGATGTTTTTATCTCTCATACATGTGAATGCATGTGCAGTCATAGCTATGTACAGAATCACAGAATTGTAGAGGTTGGAAGGGACCTCTGGAGATCATCAAGTCCAGCCCCCCTTCAAAGCAGGCTTCCTATAGCAGGCTTCACAGGCAGGCGTCCAGTTGGGTCTTCAATATCTCCAGAGAAGGAGAATCCACAGCCTCACAGGGCAGCCTGTTCCAGTGCTCCATCACCCTCACTATGAAGAAGTCCCTTCACATATTGATGCAGAACTTCCTAATGCCCCAGTTTATGGCAATTTCCCCTTGTCTAGTCCCCACAGACCACTGAAAAGAAGTTGGCCATATCTTCTTGACTCCCACACTTAAGAAACTTGTAAACATTAATCAGATTCCCTCTGAGTCTTTTTTTCTCAAAGCTGAAGTCTTCTTTTCCATGTAGAAAAATGTGTTCTCTAATTATGCTTTGATGAATTCTAAAGTTCTTGTTTCAAGTTAGTTGTCAGTCTTTCAGCTTTTCTGTGTGGTTGTACTTCTGTTCGACTGATGATTACTTCTCTTATCTGAACTAAATACTAGCAATAAGAATGGCTTTTTGTGTATGTCATCGTATGTGGGAGATAAAACTTATAAAGCTTTTGATTTTGTTTCTGAACATAATTGGTACCTTACAGAGATGCAGCATATCTCATGTTGTTTTATTGTATTGTAGCGCATATGTTATAATGGCTTTTCAGAAACGTAAAACAAATTATCCTTTAGTCAGTCTTGCTTTAACCACAGTCACTTTGTAAGGAGCGGGTAGGATGCATTGGAAAAGAAAATTACTGAACAGCTTTGGGGAGTGGGGTTAGCAAATTGGAGGAGATAAGATGCGTGTTATCCATGGACCTGTAGAAATTCAGGTCTCTGACTGAATGTGCATTGAAGGGAATGAAGTGATGATGAACTACTGTACAAAGAAACCAAGCTGGGAAAAGCAGACAAGGTTGTTTTTTTTTTTTTTTTTCCTGCTTTTTGCTTTTGATTACTGGAATCCCAGAGTTTTTGCAACAATACATGCTTAAATGTTTTCAGGCAAAATTGACTTTGTTTTGTATGTCTGTACTCCTTTTAAGGAATGTTAGTCTTAGGAAAACAAAGATGTTTGAAAGGTTAGAGAAGTCCAGAAAAGAGGACATGCATTGTTTCTCCTTGCAGTAGAAGAGATAGTTATGTTTATTAAATTGCACATACCGTATGATGCTTTATATTTTTCCATTTGATTTCCTGTAGGGTGATTTCACTTGGAACAGCATGTCAGGGCGCAGCGTTCGGCTGAAGTCAGTTCCCGTTCAAAGTCTCTCAGAGCTGGAGCGCGCTCGGCTGCAGGAAGTGGCTTTTTATCAGCTGCAGCAGGAGTATGACCTGGGATGTCAGATTACTATCCCCAAAGGTAAGTGCATGATAAACCAGCTCTGTTTAGATTGCTGAGCCTCCTCTTCATAAGCCGCTGACTTCGTATCTCAGTAATAAATGGGAGAAAAAGTACATTGTTTGCTCCTCAGACTTTTTCTTCTGCTTCACTTTTTGCTTAAACATTGCAACTACAAAAATGAATAGTAATGGTGTCCGTTATGTCCAACATAAGCCACCGGGAGTGGGATCACCTGGTCAAGGACAGACACCTACAGAGCAGATAACCTAAATCAGACCTATTCATGCTGGGAAACCCTGATACTCAGTTGAAAGAAAGATTTTTCTTGCACTTCCTTATATCCAAAAGTATGTATCTGTCTATGTCAGATAGATCATTCCCTGTAAGTGTGATTTTTTTTCGCTCTCTATTGGCGCTGATGAAAGGCAAGAATCACTAGTTTTGGTATCTTCCATATCAAATAAAGTGAATCATAGTCAGCTTTTCCTAAAGGCAGTGGTCTTACAACTTTTCTAAAGTTCTAGAGGGCAATGAAATTGACAACCCCTTGACAACCCAAGTGTCCTCAACCTCTCCTGACAGGACAGGCTTTCCAAACTTGTTACCAACCTTTGTTGCCATCCTCTGTACACTTTCCAGTAAACTAGCACCCTTTTTTTTATTGAGGATCGCAGAACTACACACAGTACTCAAGATGGGGCTGCACCAATGCTAAATACTGTATATTGGTTCCAGATGGCCTGATCTAGTGGTTGGCAACCCTGTCCATGGCAGGGGAGTTAGAACTAGATGGTATTTCAGGATCTTTCCAAACCAAGCCATTCTATGATTCTATGAGAATCATAGCCAGCTGGCCATGCTGTGTTTAATGCCTCTTAAAATGTGGTATGGCCCTTGGCTGCCAGGGTGCACTGCTGATGGATGCTGAGCCTGCTGTCACCAGCAAGCACGTCCTGATTCCTTTTGGCTGGGCTGCTCCCTAGCCACTCATCTCCTAGTCCGTACCTGTGTCAGGCATTTCTCTATCCCAGATGCAGAATTGAGCACTTCACTACATTAAACTTTGCGCTGGTGCTGATTGCCTGTTGCTCCAGTGTATGCAGATTCCTCCGCAAGGTTTCTCATCATTCCAAAGTCAACAGCACCCCCAGGTTTAGTGCTGGGGATGCATTCCAGTCCTGCATTTGAGGTCACTGATAAAAATGTTGGCCAGGACTGGATGTAGAATACTTTAGTTTAGACCCTTTGCAGAGACGATTCAAATGTCCTCTTCATGATCCCATCACTCCTGAATGGTGTGGAGTGCAAAAGTATGTTAAGAGGGGAGAGGTAGCCGTCCAATTGATTTGCTAATATCACAGGGCTGTGCAAGTGGGAATTTTCAAGTTTCAACAGTGTGAAACTTGCTCAGTCACTCCAGGCGTGCAGTAGTACAAGTAACATAAAACTTAGATGCAACTATTTGTATCCCAAGTTAAAACTGGACTGAAGGTCGTTAAAGGTTTTCTGTAAAAACAAAGCAAAGCAAACCAATCAACCAATCAAAACACAGAAACAATAACAATAACAAACAAAGAAAAGGTGATGTGTTTGGCCAAGTTACAGGAAGAACTAGTGTAGTATGTTTGAGAGAGCTGAGGGAGCTGTCTAGGACTGGAGAGATCCATGTTTAGAAAGATGTGCTCTACAGCTCTCTTCTGATTGAGCAAATGTTGTCTGAACATATTCAGAAGCCTGAAGAAGCCTAGAAGAATAATCTCAGTATTAGAAAACACAGAAAGCGTTTTTAAATGTTGGGATTCTTTGAGGTCCTTTGACTGTTCTTCAAAAGCTACAAATGAAAGACTCTAGAACAGGGCCAGCTGAGCATTTGCTTTCTGCAAGCATTTGAGAAATTACTTCTACTCGCAAAAGTAGAAAGTAAATTGGAAAGTAAAACCCCATTGTTCTTGGGTAACAAGTATTTGTGCCAAGCACGCTTGCATGGAGGTTAAGTCTGAGTACAGAAGCATCTGCCTTATGTTTACAGTCGCAATGACATCAGGTCGTATCACTACTGATAGCTTCATATTGCTTCAGTTCTGCCACGCTTAGAAGGCCACTTTGTCACAACAAGTGCAGTTAGCCTTTTAGGGCCCATCTGGCCATTTGCACACTAGGAGAGGAATGCATGCAATGTAATACCTGGTATGTAATCCCTCTTCATTTGTATTGCAGCCATTACCCTTCATAAAATACACTATTAACATTTGTAACTTAAATATCTTGTGGTCGCATAGAGAGGACCACTTCTCACAGGAGTTTAACTGGCATGTTATTTAAAATATGTAAGGTTGGACTTCGGTAAGCAATTAGAATGAATTTAAAAACAATGACTCTTGATGAATTTGTATGTATGACAGAGCTACTTCAAATTTGTTTTTTTGTTCTCTTGTTTTTCTGCCTCATCCCTGTCTTTCATTTTCTGGAATCAAAATCCTTCTCAGCTCCATGGCATGCCTCCATCTGCTAGTGATAACTATACCACAAATCATTTGTACTGTCTCTAGTTTAATGTGTTAATTTAAGGGTTATCAATTCCAAGCACAGCATTAGTTTCTTTACTAACACAGTTATTCCATAGAATATTTTTAATTTGCTGTCTGATGTTCTAAATAGCACAATATTAAGTTTGTTTTGCAACTTATTTGCAGTCACTGTTTAGACTATACCTATGCCTTCCTTATTTCAAGGAAGTAGAATCTCTTTCCAGTAGAAGAAAGGAAAGAGAACAATGCAGTTCACTTTATGCATGTGCTCATGTCTTTCTGATTTTCCATATGTTTGTGTACTTTTCTGCCCCTAGTGAGAAAAATGAACCTTATACAGCATGTCTACACAAGAAAACAACAACTTGGTAACTCAAGTCTCATATCTTGTTTTCAAAATTAAACGAGTATGAAAGAGTAGGATAACTTCTTTCCTTCTCCTTTGTTCATAAGCTCCAGGTACCTCTTGGGCAGAGAAGGTATCGAATGAGGTTTGTTTGGAGCAGTTTCTACAACAGGTATTTAGGAAATACTTTTATAATAACATTTTACTTCACTGAGCCCAAGAGCCTCTTGTAGTTTGTATTTGTGAGGACTGGTAGGCACTGCTAGGGCCTGATCAGTTACAGTAAATGAGGAGTTAGGGCACCAACCCTAACTCAACTCCTCAAGCATCTGTTTCAGTTTTAAGGTATGACATTAGCCTCTCTGAATTAACTGGAATAGGATTTGGATGTTCTGGAGTCACAGCTGCAGTTTTCACCTCTCTTTATTCAAGAAAACACTGTGACTGCTTATGTTCTCACCAGTCCCCAACAGGTTGTGTTGTCATCTTCCCAGCTTTGGAATGAGGCATGAGGTATTGTGGAAACAAGGAGTACAGGAGGGAAAAAGGAAACACTTGCCACTAATTCTGAGTATGGCTTAGGTAGGTGTATGTGTACCAGTGTAATATGCAAACATAAATGGTTTATCTTTTTGGTTGAATCCTGCTTTTACTTTTATACAGCAGAGGTGCCAGCAATTAGCGCTTGCTACCACAACACTGCTCAGAGTCATATTTAAAAGAAACCCTTGCCCCACTGATGTTTGAACTGAAATGTCCCCTAAATACCATGGTAAGAATGTCAGCTGAAGTAGTGGCTCAATTTGTGACTATGTTTTTCTTATCTTTGTAGTAGTTTGTATGGGATTTATGAATCTACCAGCATTAGCTTGCAGAGTTGATGATTCCTCTCGTGCATTCTTAATGTCCATTCTTAAGTGGATATCACCTTTGTAGTGACTGTTGAAGATGGAGAAGGAGAAGATACTGAAAGGCCTCAGGAGTTAGAAAGGGTTCTTGTGCTAAAGAAGTTGTAGGATTGGTCAGTTATGAGACGTTGCACAGAGGTAGTGAAAAGCTTTGATGTAGAATAAAAGAGTTCTCTATTTTTCAAAAAAGGGGAAAGAAAGGAAAAGTTATGCTGAATTTTCCTATGAAAGTTTGGAAATTCTGCCCTAACTTGGACAGAGTAGAATTTGAATCAGCAAGAGATATACAGTATCTAGATTGTACATAGTCCTTCACAGAATCTCACTCTTTTTGTGATTAGGCATTTTTGGTCCTATCTTTCTAAATCATTTCAGGACAGAATTTCAAATGTGATACAGTTGACAGAGGATCTTTTGCATGTGTACCAGTTCAGAAGTTGTACAGGCAAGCATCTCAGATGTGTATTTTCATTTTTCACGTGTCATTTTTTCTACAATTAATAGTAACAAATCCCAGTATTAACCCATGTTTCAGATTGCATACTACTATGCTATCGAACTTCATTTTTTGTAGGAAGACTTAGCACAAGAGTTCAGGCCCAAAGCTTCAAAATAATGTGGTAAAATATCTTTATTCCAGTCTCATCTTCAAAATACAAGATTGATGTGTCTAGAATTGAACTTTGATGTTACACATTCACCCAGAATTGTTAACAGATCAGATGCAATAGATTGCAATACATGCAGTAGGTTGGATGAAGGCCAGACCATAAATCTCTGATGAATTATCTTGTTTTTGTTGGCTTGGGTCACAACCTTAATGCTAGGTTGATGTAGTATTTTTGCTTTAGCACATGCCACATTCCAAAGTATATTTATGCTATAGTACAAGTGCTGCATATGCTTTCTTTGTATCTTTGGGTTTATTATTTAAATGTTTCCCAAATGTTGTGGAGGGAGAATCTGAAGATAAGCCACAGAATTCTATTCATTTTACAGATCTGAAAATAAACTTGCCGTCCAGCTATTTTAGCAAGTGTACAAAGTGTAATCAAAGAAATTAATTGCCTTTACCAAGAAGACTCTTTACCGTATTGTTGCCATCTATGACAAGAATGTACACACACACATCAATATTTATTGTTAACAGCACCTAAGTCATACACAGCAGCTTCAGTAATTATAGCAAGTGTTCTACTTTCTGAGGTAATTTCTTTTTAGAGTTATTGGGTCAGC